CACATCTAAATGTTGGCGGTCGGTCTCCGGCCATATTATTTACCACGTGAGTTTTCCCTCGCCATTATCATCATTGTTTACATCGCTCCTGATGCCAATGCGGCACAGGCGTATGATGTCATCAGCTCTGCGACAGCGGACGTACTAAATCGTAGTCCCTCTGCGTTTGTGGCTATAACGGGCGATTTTCACCACACAGACCTCTCCACTGTTCTACCTACATTCAAGCAGTATGTGGACTGCAAAACAAGAAACAATAAAACACTGGACCTGTTTTATGCCAATGCTGCTGAGGCATACACCTCCAGCACTCTCCCTCCCCTGGGCAGGGCTGATCACAACCTGGTCTCCCTCCAGCCCCTTTATAGACCTGCCGTCCAGAGACAACCTGCAGCCACAAAAACGGTCACAACATGGACAAGGGAGTTGGAAGAGACTCTGCAGGGATGCTTTGAGTCAACGGACTGGGATGTTCTTTGTGATTCCAGTCAGGACAATATTGACAATCTGACAGGCTGTGTTACACACTATATCAACTTCTGTGTTGACACGGTAGTGCCCCAAAAAACCATACTGTGCTTTCCCAACAATAAGCCCTGGGTTTCCAAAGACATAAAAGCAACCCTGAACAAGAAAAAAAGAGCTTTCAGAAATGGTGACAGAGATCAGCTGAAACTGGTGCAGAGGGAGCTGAAAGCCAAGATTGCTGAGGGGAAAGAGTCCCACAGACGGAGGCTGGAAAACAAACTGCAGGAAAACAACACCAGGGAGGTGTGGAATGGAATGCGGGTTATCACTGGCCTGAGACAAGAGAGGTGTTGGGATGGAGGGGGATGTCGAAAGTGCTAACAACCTAAATCTACACTTCAATAGGTTCGACTGCCCTGCATCTCTTGTCTCCACGGCCAGCTCTTCCCATCTTCTCCTTCCACCCCCCCCCCCCCCCCCCCCCTCTCCTGCCTCCTCAGACTGTCTCACCCTGTCCCTCTCAGCAGATGACATCAAAAAAGAATTGGGCAGACTCCACTCCAGCAAAGGTGCTGGTCCTGATGGTGTCAGTCCCAGGGCCCTTAGGTGTTGTGCTTCCCAGCTGTCTGGAGTTTTACAACGGATCTTCAACATGAGCCTGGAGATGCAGAGAGTTCCATCACTCTGGAAGACATCCTGCCTGGTTCCTGTCCCTAAAAAGATCAACCCGTCGACTCCCAGTGACTACAGACCAGTGCCTCTGACCTCACATGTCATGAAGACGCTGGAGAGACTCATCCTAAAACATCTGCGGCTGCTGGTGGAGCCTTGGCTGGATCCCCTGCAGTTTGCTTAACAACCTCGTATCGGTGTGGAGGATGCCCTCATCTTCCTGCTGGACCGGGCATATTCTCATCTGGACATTGTTGGGAGTACTGTGAGGGTCATGTTCTTCGACTTCTCTAGTGCCTTTAACACGATCAGACCATCACTGCTGGGGAAAAAGCTCACGGAAATGCAGGTGGACGCCCCACTAGTAGGTTGGATTACGAACTATTTAACAAGTAGACTACAGCTTGTCCGACTGATGAGCTGCCGCTCAGATAACATCCTGAGCAGCACGGGGGCACCGCAGGGGACAGTTCTATCACCCTTCCTCTTCACCCTTTACACATCTGACTTCAGGTACAAGTCTCAGTCTTGCCATCTGCAGAAATTCTCTGATGACTCTGCCATCGTGGGCTGTATCAGGGATGGTCAGGAGGTGGAGTACAGGAGTGTGGTGGACAGCTTTGTTGAGTGGTGTGAGCGAAACCACCTACAACTTAACATCACAAAGACTAAGGAACTGATTATGGACTTTAGGAAGCAGGCCCCACCTCCTACTCCTGTCACCATCAGAGGGGCTGACGTTGTGATCGTTGAGGACTACCGGTACCTGGGTGTACACTTGGACTGTAAACTGGACTGGTCTAAGAACACCAATGCCATCTTCAAAAAAGGGCAGAGTCGGCTTTTCCTACTGAGGCGGCTCGGGTCCTTCAATGTTGGTAGGAAAATGCTGACCATGTTCTATCACTTGGTGTTGGAGAGCGTTGTGTTCTTTGCAGCTGTGTGCTGGGGCAGTGGGGTGAAGATAGCTGATGCCAACAGGATGAACAAGCTGATTAGAAAGGCTGGGTCTGTCCTGGGTGTCACACTTGAGACCCTGGAGGAGGTGTCTGAGAGGAGAATGCTAAAAAAGCTTCTCTCTATCATGGACAACCCCTCCCACCCCATGCAAGCCCACATGACTGACCATCGAAGCACACACAGCAAAAGACTCATTGCCCCTAAATGCAGAACTGACCGCCACAGGAAATCCTGCGTACCTGTGGCAATAGGATTGTTTAACTCTTCCTCACCCTGTAGGTGATTCTCCTAATACTATTACCTAGGCTATTCTGTCCCATCCCAGACCGTGCAATGTTACCCAAGAGTTCTTATTGGAAATATAATTGCATCCCCCATCATATCATATGCTGCTACTACCCTTGATTCTATTGCACAATACTCTGATCATTTTCGAAAATCGCCTGCACTGATAGCTTAATTACTTATTCACCAGGATACAATCATGTATTTTATTTGTTGAGTTATCTGAGTAATTCTCTTGCACTATGCTATTGTATACTACTGTACACTATTTTTACTGTGTACATCGTATATCTTATATCTATTTCACCTGTTCCTTTGCCTCTCCTACTGCTTTGAGCATGTACATGACACAACAATTTCCCTCGGGAAAAATACAGTTGTTCTTATCTTATCTTGTCTTATTTTATCTTATCTTATCTTATCTTATCTTATCTTATCTTATCTTATCTTAAGGCAGCAGTAGCTCAACAGGTTGAGCGGGTTGTCCAGTAATCAGAAGGTTGCAGGTTCGATCCCGGCTCCGGACAGATAATTCTGCTGTTGTGTCCTTGGGCAAGACACTTAACCCACCTTGCCTGCTGGTGGTGGTCGGAGGGAGCGGTGGCGCCTGTGCTCGGCAGCCTCGCCTCTGTCAGTGCGCCCCAGGGCAGCTGTGGCTACATCGTAGCTCATCACCATCAGTGTGTGAATGCGTGTGGGAATGGATCAATGATACACTGTAGTGTAAAGCGCTTTGGAGTCCTTACTCGGAGAGGCACTATACAAGTACGGGTCATTTATCATTTATACCTGACGATCCACCTTTCTACAAGCTGCAATGATTTCTTTTAATTCAAAATCAATTTTATGTATTGTAGTAACTCAAAATAATTTAAGTTTGTTGATCATGCATGCAGCAAAAATATTCTAAACATCTAAACCAGAATAAAAAAAATCATGTTTTTTTCCGTCTGAAATCCATTGTAACCCAAGTGAGCGACTGCAGCAAGCTGCTACTTTTTCTGGATCCAACAAACCCGAAAGCTCTAGATTTAATCCCTTCACCAGTCGGCTGCTCCACCGATTTAATCGCATTGTGCTCGTGTGCGTCTGTCTGTGAATCGGTATTAATCAGCTACTCTGGCAAACGCGGTGCTCATTTTTTATCTGCATTTATCCAACGTTAAGACTTTAGTAATCGTCTGACTATGTTTTTGAAAGTGGAAAAACATTCAAAAGAGCTCCCAAAACTCCACAAAAGCACCACTTACATGGATTTACATTTCATTACGATCTACAGTATTTGGCTCCTGGTCAAAAGGAGAAGGCAAACAAAGGAGAGAGACAAAGAAGGAGGAAAAAAGGAGTAAAATGAGTGCAGTTACACACAGAGCAAACAAGAGAGAGAGCCAAAGCAGATGCAACGAAAGGAGAGGTGGGGTATTTTGATATCTCCAAAAGGGATATTTCCTCAGCCAAAGGGCTAATCCGGCTACCATTAGCATTTTCATGAGTCCTGTGTCCGGGGGTTGACGGAGCATGTCACTGCCTCATTTGGTTACTTCTGAAAACGCACTCACACACACACGCACGGATGCACTCACTCACACACAAGGACACAAATACAATCTCTCTCCTCCTTCCCTTTTTGACAGCAAACCCCTTCGACCGACACACTCCACACAAACAGTGTTTATGTGTCATGCACACCAATGGCACGCTAAAAGCGGAGCAGCAGAGCTCGCAGCGCTTCCTTATCTATCAAAGTTCTCCCCATATGCGGTGAAAAATGAATTTCTCCTCTTCACTGCTCCTCGGGACGGAGTCGTTCATGAATTCTGTTATTCCTGTTATTGTGTGGTCCTGTGAACTAATTCCCATCAAAACATCATTGTTTTTATTCAAAAAAGGAGCTTTAAGAATTCAGCCAATGAAAGAATTAACTTCTGAATTGTACAATAAAAAGACAAAACCATGTGTGTGTGCAGTAGCTCCTGTTAAGGTGAAGAGACTGTGAGAGAACGAGAGTATTTGTGAGTCACTTCCTGCCTCAAACCTCAGCCAAATAGTGTTTGCTGCATAAAAGGTTGGTTATTTATGATCTGGTGGTCTTTTTGGGTAAGAACACGAGTGCAAAATCAGTCTGTGTCTTTCTAATAGACTCTCTGCCTTCTCTTAATGGCTGGTTGACATTTGTTTGGCAACTGCATGGTCAATTTCTTTGCCTTCCTGGCACCAATCATTGCTGTGTGTGCAACAGAACTCTAAAGAGAACCAGAAGGGAAGGGAATCTGTTATCTGTGGTGAAAAGAATGCATTATCATTTCTCAAGTGTTAGCAACCTCAAAGGGTGGCTTTGACACTCTGCATTGGGTTCCTTTTCTTCCTTTGCCAAGTACTTGTCAATCTCTTTGACACAAAGACCCTTGGGTTGACCCAGAACTGAGCTGTTGATAAGCGCTTTAATGGTTTGCAGACTTCAAAAATAATTTTACAGAATCTAAAAATGTAATAATGAATTTGAAAACTCTCCGGTCCTAAAACCTTACTGTAAAACACCTGAGTTCAAAACATGAGTGAAATTGTATGTGACATGCACAGGAAACTGGAATGGCAAAAGAAAAAAAATACCTTACCTATATTGGATTCTTCAAAGACGTATGTGTTAAATGCTTTCCCCAGAGTGTTTATCACCGTCACGTTCACCACATAAGGATAGGAGGAGAAAACCTCTGGGAATCGAACATGACAGCGATTCTTATGGACCGCATCCTTCTCCACCGCCAGCGAGCGCTGGTTATGTCTGAAGAGACAAATGCAGAATGAAAGGTAAGACGGGAGAAGGTAAAGGAAAACGAAGAGCTGACATGAGAAAGGTAAGATAAGCAAGCAGAATTTTTAATTAGACACTAATGTGGATAAATCCTGCCAGGAGGGTCCAAATCCAGGATAAACTTGGTTTGTGGACCATCTTTTCCACTCAGCTTTTCCATCTGCCTGCAGGCTGAGGACAGTTAAAGTTTTGCACGTTTGAAGTAAGCACATCTGCATTCCTTTGAGATTAGCAAGTCAATAGTGAATCCTAATGGAACACTTTGTTTGTGGCAGATAAAAGCCAGATGCCAACGGCTACAAATAGAGTTACTAGAGACAGTTAAAGTTCTGTATTGGATTAAAAACGCAGACCAGGGTAATTTAAAGCTGGTGTGTAAAACGTTCTAAAAACATGAAAGCATCTGTCTAGTGGTTCAATACCTTGTTGCTGTTGTCTTTTAGCCTTTGCTGTCATAATAAATATTTAAGATAAATAAAAATGCTGTGATGGTTAAAAAAAATAAACTCAGAAACATGAATATGTTGTCGAGCCTTTAAAGCCGTTATTGCTAATCTGCAAGCAAGCTAGGTTTTGAACACAAACACGGCAAGGGATGAGGTATTTTCCCTGAGACACTTCTGCAGGAACCGAAAACCTGCTATGCTGCATGAAACTCTAGATAGCGCTTCACACCATTCGCCGTTTTCTAGCCAGCTGATTCTCCTTCTCTGATATGATTCAGCAGAGAACCTCTCACACCAGTGGTGTTCTGTTGCTAAGTACATAGAGAGCATAGTGGAAGATCCAACGAAGTGCCGTGGTTCGGTGGGACCGACAACCAGATGGTCCAATAGTTGCTTATGGTCCAAAACGTGTTTTTGGCTGAGGTTTTTAGAGAAATGTGAGAGAACTACTTTTCTTTTATCTCCTTTAAGCTATTTTGTTCTTCAAATTTGCCATTGCAGCTTAAGGTCCGCATACTATCCCTTCATGCATTGTGTAAACTCATGTAGTCAATCGGAAGTGGTTGAATTTAAAGATAGAAACGATTAAACACTTCCACTATGTTCTCATTAAAATATTTTCTTGATGTTTTGGGTGAAATCAGCTTATTTTCCTCTTCAACAAACAGAAAAATGGCTGAAACAGATGGAAAAAAGTATTTCTTCAAATACTTTGTAAAAGAAATGCATAAAACAATAACATTTTAGAAAAAAACAGGTTGGTTTTAAACCCTCAGGCGTCACTTTAATTTATTACACTCTTGTGACCTTAGAGGACAAAAAATACCCGCTCCTAAAAGTGGATATAATAAATGTATGCGTTCATTTTTTTTTTTTTTTTTTTACTTTTTTCATAGCTCTGTGAAACAACTTCAGTTCTGCCCAAATCTATGAAAACTTCAATCATTTAGAGGATTTTATCCTTCAAATGTTAGTTTGATTATTCAATGTCATGGCTATAATTTATAATAATAACGAAAAAAAAAGTTATTTTCCAAAAAAACTACAATTTTCTGCCTGCAACATTTACTACAAACCAGTCTGGGTCATAGTATGAAATATCTAATCGTTTTTGTGTAGCAACAGATTTAAAAGTTACCATCTTCTTATGACTATTGAGGACAAAAATGTCCCATTAACTTCCATTCAAATCAAAGTTATTGATCCTGTAACATCTGCAACAAATGATCATGCATTCTGTGATCTTAGGGTTTCATTTTGGAGAAAAGTAGTCAAATGTGACACAGGTGAGTAACGCTACACATTTTTGTAGATCTTCTGCCGTTTGTATTGAAGTCAAAAGGTCAACTTGACCTCAGCAAAATGAATAAAACACAGTTTCACTCTCTCACTGAACTTCAAAGTGTAGAAAACAAAAACAATTAGTATGTGTGTGCACCTGGCTGGAGCCCAGGTACCATGAACTTTGACTAATTAAACCGTTATTGTCTTTTTAAGACTAACTGCATCCACCACAGGTGACATTTCCAGGCTCCACACCAGCGCATCCTCCCACCAAAGACACAATGGACTCACTGTATGTCCACTTCAAAGCTGGTGGGGATGTAGGTTGAGTGCTGCAGGTGCCAGTTGCAGTAGAAACCTTTAGGGTAGGTGTTGGACCGACAGGTGATCAGCGGCTCCCGAGGGGGAACTACAAGGGGAAAAAAAACACAACAGAGACAAGATAAAAGTTAATCTCTGAGGAGCTCAACATTACAGAAATGGACTCCAGTCAATAGACTTTACGACAATCAAATAGAAAGCAGCCATGGCTAATTAAACATGACTTTATTGCATAATACATTTTTGATCACAGTTCTCATTAAAAGGCCCCAGCTTCCCAGTATGGATAGAGTCATATCTCTGGTATGTTTTATTAAATAGGCTTTCAGTTTATTTGACTCTGGATGCCAGAGCGTTTTCTTGTACCGCTCTTTAATTTTTAATAACAAATATATTAAAATTTGATGAAGAGGGGGATGAAAAGATCTGGAAAAGTCCAATCAGCAGCCTAATTACAAGATATAGCCGAGTAGCGTAGGTCTTTGTGTAGTTTTATATAATTCCTATAAAACTTAATCTGCTATTTTTCCTTCTTTTTAACATAAGAAAAGCGCACTCATCCTCCATGATTTGACCAAAAGGTGCTCTAAAACGTGCTTCCATGTAAATTGTGAGTTAATCACGATCGGTTTTTCACACTGCACAATTTTTAAGATCAATAAATTTTGTTTTTAACAAATACATTTACAAACGTGAGCACGTGTCTGATTGTTTGTGCAGGAGATAACACACCATGAGTCTGTCTACCACTCTTGTTTTATCATTTTGTTGTTGTTGTTTCCTCTTCATACCTTTGATGTGTAATCAATTGCACTCCAGTTATTTAAATAAAAACATTTCCATTTGTACTGTTGTAATCTCTCTTCAATAACACACTTGCCTAATATTAGGTGGCCAAATGTTCCCACCTGAGTCCCTTCCAAATGGGAAAAGCAGGAGAAAAGTTTACTTGAGTGTTCCAGGTTTGTTGAGGAAAAGATAACAATTACATGAAAGTATGGAAAATTTAGGTTTACTGCCAAGCAAATTTTTACACTTGAGGCAATTAACAAGTGTGCAAGACCTAGAAACATAAACACATGTGTACAGGAAATGTTAGGAGCAGTAAACAGTTTGTACTTTCATCATTACTGGCTGCCCAGACACGTTCAGCAGCTGCGGTTGGACAGAGAATGAATCTGTGCTGTTTTGTTTTGTTCTGATGGACCACAATCTCTTCCCAGAGGAAAGAAGCTCAAACGGCATACGTCCAGAGTGGGATGGATAATCCGTTTCAGGTATCCAAATGAAATTGGATTGGGATTACACAACATGATTAATTAAATTTTGCATTATGAAACAAAAACGATGAAAAGGCATTCATCCCAATTAAACACTTTCTAAACAAGCACTAGAAAGGCTTTAAACAACTCTAAAACATGGTATTTACAAGAAATAGGTTATGTTATTAAGTGCATGTAAAATAGTTATAAAAAAAGTTTTCACCCATTAATACATCTGAAAGTTATTTCATTTTTGAAAAGTGAGCCCAACATATCTTGCTTACAGGTGCTGCCATGTTTCAGAGCCTACAGCCACTAAGAATGACCAAAGACAGACCTCTGAACAAATAAATCTTTAGTCAGGAAGATGAGGGGCGGGGCCTAAGCCCAACTTCACACTGGAGGCATCAGTGGCGCGGAATGGCAGTTCACTTGCGTGCTTCGCCACAGAGAGGTTTCTCCGCAGTCCTTGTTGTCAGACTCACGAGATCAAAATCCCTGTTCATGCCATCTGTCATTAAACCAAAAGGAGCTCATTTTTGATATCGCTGTTTGTGTCATATATAATGTTGTTCCTCTTGAATGTGCGGATTAAAGCCATGGAAAACACACGGTTAAATTTGCATGGCTGCATTTATCTTTTATTTTGAAAATTACTGGACATTGTACACTGAAATGATGTGTGAGATGATGATTTCCTGTTTAGTTCTGCTAACTTTGGAAGTTGACGTGTCTCAGAAGCTGCTCAAGAAAAAAATAGAACCCAATCCTATCTGTAGCGGTGCAGCGTGCTGCTTCTGGGACACGCCTGAAAATGTTAGTGCTGCGGCCAGGTTGGATCGACCCCATAGACTATAATGGATTCTATCTGAAGCAGCTACGTTCCACTGCCGTCCCGCGTTCCGTTCTGATGTCTCCAGTGTGTCGTTGGATTAAGAGTTACTGCAGCCAACAACTGGAAGGTGATTCAGTTATTTTCTGCTTCAAATTCTTTTTACGACCCCTGGGTTTTACCAAGGTTTTTCGTATTATTATTGACTGTTTATTTAGTGTTTGCCCCCTGTTTTGTTGTGTTCTGCCCATTGTTTTTTATTTTTATTCATTTTTTTGAGTGACAACACCAGACCCGGATGCAAGATGGCTGCCTCCGTACTGTTGTCCAGTATCCATGGACACCACAATGAGTCCCGGCAGCCTCATCACCAGTGGATCCTTCCACGGTTCTCCAGATGGAAGCAGTTGGGCTAATCCTTTACCCTGGATCTTGAAGGATAAAAGGCTGGATGAACTTTCACTCTAGGAGCTACTTGTAAACGACTCCATTCAGGCTGGTTTCAGAGACTCTTGAAGAACATCTTGAAATATAATAACTTGGATTTTAATAGTCTCTCGTTAAGTTCAGAACTTACTTACAGTAAAAGGGCTTATTTTATCCCTGGTCGCTACTGTTTGAGTGTGAGAGTCTTTGTGGTTGAGTTACTGTGTTATTTAGAGGGTATAAACCGCTTTATGTATTTTGGTAATAACCCTGAATCTTTTAGTTAAACCTTCCAACACCCCCTTCTTTTGTAACATCGTGTTGGACATTTAGGTCTGCTTCTCTTAGTTGTAGCTTAATTATTTTCTTTTTTCGCTGCCAGTTTAAAGAACTGAGCCTTGGCCTTATTCTTTTCTTTATTATACTCTCTAGAATTAGACTTTGCTGGGCTGTGTTTGATTGCTGTTAGGGTTTACATCCCATAATTTTCTGTTAAACTATTTACTTTTTTTTTTTTTTAAGAATCATGGCGTTAAAAAAACATACCTTTGCAGTGACTTATGGGGCACAGTTTTGTCTAAATTTTGCATAATAACCATCTTTCATTACTACTGAATCACTTTAGCAGCATTTAGAGTTTGTGACTGAACCCCCAACCCCAAGATGCATTTGCTCAAACGGCCTTCAGCTACACATCCTCTTGAAAAAGGTTTCTCTAATTGTCTGCTGTGGGGTCATTTGACTGTCGTGCACAATCAGCTGTGTTTAAACGGTCATCGCAGAAACTAATTAGCCTGTCAATAATGGATAATAATGGATCCTGGGGATGGTATCCAATCACACTCGATTAATCACAGGGAGTAATTAGGGCCATCTCAATCAATTGGCTCTTCATCTGAGGGCTTCGGTCAAAGTCACGCAAAAACAAAATGCCACACAAACACATCACAGCAAACAATTAGTGTCACACACACACACACACACACACACACACACACACACGCACGCACGCACGCACGCACACACACACACACACACACACAATTCTGGCAGGTTTGGTAGAATTAGCTGTAATCAATCAAAGCAGCTTATTAAGGGGTTGGCTCAATCACATCTAAAGAAAGAACAAGCATAAAATGAGTGGTTTAAAGGATGATAAAATGCATTATGGTTGGGAAATCCACGAGACAGAAGATGTGGGCTCATGCTTACTTTAATTTATTTGATCTCGGAGGTGTTTACTTTTTTAAATAAGGTCCATTTCCACCAACAAAAGGGCTGCCAAAAGACGTCTGAGTCATTCAAAAGTCCAGCTCTCATTTATTTGATCTGAAGGATTTTTTGAGGGTTTAAATACACAAGGAAATGGATGTGGAAGTTTGAATATGACAGAAATAAAAAAAGGCTATGGCGATTGAATGCTTAAATCAACCATTATAGAGCAACAGTGGTGGTTGAAACTCACAGTTTTGTAAATAAAAAGAAAGGGAATCAAGTTGTAGATGATAAGAAAAGGGATTGAGAATGAGATTGGACAAAAGTGGTGCAATGACAGTTGTTAAAGAGAAAGAAAAGAACAAGCATGATAAAAGGATCAAATTAAAGAGTTTGTTTGATCGGATTAAAGGAAAGTTGGAAAGAAGCTTAACCAATATGGCTTCAGATTTGACTAAAGCGCCATTAAAGGGCTCAGAAAACACACAAAAAGCTGTCACACAGTTGCTCCTGTAATAAAAGAGCATTAAATGTTGAGGAGGAAACAACAAGGGATAACCCACCTGTAGGAAAGAGGAACAAACATTCGGAGAACAAAGACAGCATGAATATTTAAGAGCATGAAACAATGATTCAAATTAAAAATACATTGTGCAGGTGTCCCTTGTTTTTAGAGAACCCCTCTGACATTCCTAAATCAATGGCACACAGGACCCAGCTAATGAATAAATGTTATTTGAATTTGTCTGCTTTCATCATCTGGTTTGAATTGTGAAGATGGTTTATGTGAGGCTCATGAAACATACACCTGCACATATTATGCACACATGTGCATGCACAAGTGGTTCGGTGGGTTACTTTTAAGTGGTAATAGGTTACAGGCTCTGGCTCATAAATGATAACAAGGCTATTAAAGGCATGCAAATGAACTCACGTTTCCAGCTGGGTAGCTATCGCTCACTGATGATCAGTAAATATCAGCCCACACTCATCAGAGTATTTGTATGTTAGCAAGAGACGTGAACGTTCTATTAAATATGTGAATCTTCAGTTGGAATCACACCGAATTGGTGCATAAGCTTCTTCGGTAAATTTTATACACAGGTCTGGGGTATGATGATTAAGCAAACAATGATTGTTTCTTGTTTAGGTAGAAACTGTCTTCTCAAGTAAAAATGACATCATATGGTAACATTTCTGCAGTTCCTGTTTCAAAACAATCAAAAAAATCAGCTTTACAAGGACAAAAATTGACCGAAGCCAGTGTATAAAAGACGGTAAGTATTGGCCCGACATATTGGCCCACCGATATATCGGTCTACCCCTACTCCTGTTAATGGCACAGGATCTTTA